CCCACTCGCACGACGCCGCTAAAGTTTTTAGTTCTGTTACATACTGATCTACCGACTCGCCTGTGTTTTGATCTCTTGTGGGGAAACGATGCCGTTCAACAACGAGATTCTTCTTGAGTTTACAATGCGCTTCGAATTTGTCAAAAAGGATTGCTGTGGTGATCACTTGTTGTCCATTTTCACGAGTTTCAAATTCGAACGTGTCTTTAATTTCTTGCCCGTCTTTACCAATCATACACATGAAAATTGCGACTTTCTGTGGCTCGGTTTTTCCGGTGCATGTCGCTATCAAGTAATACTCCATGCTACGTCTCCAGCGTCTCCATGTCTCTGCTAGATTTTGTGGGCTGGTGAAATCCATTTCACCGGGTCCTCTTATTTCATTCATTTTGAACGTTATAAAGTTTACCTGACACCATGTAATATATCGAGATAAAAAGTGTGTTTTAATCTATTACTCGTTTACTTAAATACACAATGATTAATTTACATAACTATAGCCCATAGAATATTACAGAATAATTTGAATATACTACAAGCTATGCAATGAAAGAACATTAACGTAAGTTTTTTACAATAGACCTTTCCCAAGATAGGTTTAGAACCTCGTTCCAGGCCTTTTTTGCGCGGTCTTGGTGAGTACAATTCGGCCAAAAATTTGGAAAATTGTGTTGTTATTTGACTAATTTCCGCAGAAATATATCCGAGCACACATTTCGGACAATACTCTTGATACTTTTAGGGCTCTTTTAACTATTACTTCGACACAATTTGGCAATTGTACTTACCAAGACCGCGCAAAAAAGGCCTGGAACGAGGTTCTAAACCTATCTTGGGAAAGGTCTATTCAGTCGGGGGGTTTTTTCGCGCAAAACTTTGTCTCCCACACCGCCTTGGTCGATTTCAGCCAATCAATTGCTCCAATTCACCTGTGGGCCTGCAATCAACAACCAAATTTTTTTACTGTCGTACTTTGTGTCGTTACTCGAGCTGAAGCGATCTTACTAATCTGGCAAGTGGAATGAGCTCTGAGCGTCCGACAAAAGTCAAAATCTAATCATCCTTTTTAACCATACACGCGATCAAATATATGTGCGAATTTATGAATTCTAGGAGTACTCGATCAAAAGTAAACGGCTGTGTTGTTCTAAATTAAACAGCTACATGCATGTACGCTTTCTGGGCGTACTAAAAACTGAGAACAATAAACGTCTTGTTCATTCTTAAATTATCATGCAATGCTTGTTTTTCCGTTATCCATACATGCATGTTTATAACGCTTCGAACAATAAATTAATAAATTGCTCTTTTTACTACTGTATAGCTCCTGCCGATTTCTGTGGAAAAACTGATTTGGATAAATTATTTATATACGGTGCCTTTATTGGTAATTCAAATGAAGAAAGCCACTTCTCATTTGGTGTCACAACTTCGGTTGTGAAAGCAACAGGAGGCGAAATATCATTTGATTGCAACTTTGCGGATTCATCGTTGCCGTTGGACGATATCGTGATTTCGGTTACCTCCGGTACGATTTCAGCATTGAAGCTCACCTGTTGCATCTCCGAGAAGTCACTTACCACATGGAGGAAGACGTTGCCATCACTATTCGAAGGTTCCGCCGGTTTCAAATCTGTTTCGGGAGGTGTTACTGATGCGAACCCACTTATTGACTTTCTGATCCGGACAATCTGACCTGCTTTTATGTTGCAAGCTTTTAACAGCTCGTCGCTTGTTCCTTGCAGAATGTCTACTGCGTCCAACTATAAATACATCAGTACGACAGTTAGTGAATGAGTGTCTGAAAAAAGTATATCACCCCTGCATGTGTTTGCCGGATTGGTGAATAGCTATATAGTGAGTGAAAATGCACATTTCTTGAAATTCCCTTAACGCGCGGGTCCTTATTTTACTAAGTAGCCCAACAGGACATTAAAAATACGGACCCGTTAGAATAGACGAAAAGTGTATTAAGATAGATAGTGCCTGAACACGAGGTAGCAATTAAAGTGATATATGTACACGCTATGCATAATGTCTCGATTGCATTCTGGACCTGGAAACGAGTCTCTTTAAAAAGAAGCAAGTGTGTCAATTTTTACCTTTAAATTTGTTTTTGTGGTCTTCAAAGCCAACATAACGAAAAATCAACTAAAAACAATTTGTTTTTTAATTATATGTTTTGAAGTTTTTAAATGAGCTAGACCTAATGGCTTTTGACATACCAGCCTCGTTTTCATGCGACTTAGAGAGCATCATGCATAACGTGAATAATAACGCCAGGTTATGTAATCATCTTCGTTTGTGTGTGTGTGTGCGTGCGTGTGTTGGTCTGTGAACACGATAACTTAAGAAATAATTAACATTGCACATGTGTTTGCCAAAAGGAAATCTTGACTATTAAATTTTTATTCAATTTCGTTTCCGAAGATTTTCAGCTAGCTATCTGCTGGCGTGTTCAGCAGGGACGCTGCCAATCTCGTTCCCCGAGCCTGTGATCCTTGGGAAGGAACTTGTGGCTAAGATTGAACTATGCATTCCATTCCAACGGCCAATCAGATTCCTCCCTGAAACGGATTATCCCAGAGCCTTTGTTTCCTTCCCAAGGATCGCTTTCTACTTGACAGGTTTAAGTAGCTGAGGAGATTGGAAATATTTGCCTGACAAGACTGTGTTGTCAAAACATTTTTAGTCGGAGACTCTGCATAATTTTCAAGCTTCTAGATAGCATGTGATATGGCTTTATATTTTAGTAAACACGAGTCATATTTAGCCTGTTATTCCATTTTGGCCGTATGGTAGCGAACTGACGTAGCCTATTTCATTGTTCCGAGAGCATTAGAGCAAAATTTCCATAACATTTTCTATTTACAAATGCGGTATGCTTGGTAACCAGGCCAGGGACCACTTTTTTGAAATCAGGGACCATTTTACCGAAATCTGCTAAGCTCTCTCGCTGAAGCGTTCCGCACAGCACACCCAGGCACAATCTCGTTCCCCGACCCTGCGATCCTTGGGAAGGAAACGAAGGCTCTGGGATAATCCGTTTCAGGGAGGATTCTGATTGGCGGTTGAAATGGAATGCGTAGTTCAATCTTAGCCACAATTTCTGGCTTCCGGCAACGGATTATCCCAGAGCCTTCGTTTCCTTCCCAAGGATCGCAGGCT